AATTGTAACTTAACCACAGGTTTTGCAGTATCATCTAGCTATTTAGTAACATGTTTTATCAAATTTAAATTCGGTAAAAAAAAGTCGGGACTCAAAGGGTTAATAAATTGGAAGATATTATAGTTATTGTTATTGTTTATATATCTATAATTTGTCGATTAGTATCAAATATATTATAGATTAAGTTATAAGGAATTCTTCAGAAGTTTTGAAACAATTTTAAAATGCATTGCTGTCGCATTCAACAAGAGCAAACTTTTTGAAGCCTTGCCAGTCTATTTTTCCTACTTCATAGTGAACAATAACAGAGTTTCAGATCTATAGTTATTTCAATGGATGAGAAATCGTAACAATACTGTCAAGTAATATTTTTTTCAACCTTCCGAATGCTCTCGATCTCTTTTTAAGACAGCACAACTTTTCGAAATGACGAAATCAGAAAAGCTGCATTAAGTTATCAATGTTTGCCTATTGGACAAATATTCATATCGAATATTAATTTTAATTATACTGGTATTTTGTCGATTATTTAGTGACATAAAGAGACACTGAATGCGTTCTCTTACTTCTTAATATCGTTTTTCAGTTGTTCAATATTAGTGTATTTCCATCCTCATAATTTTTCTTCTAAAACAGCCCAAAAGTTTTCTATAAACTAAAATCCGTAAAGTTTGACAGAGCAACTTATCGATTCAACTCGATGAAAAAAAATGTATTTAACGACATTCAAAGTCATCTACATTCTTTGTTTATAACTGTGACCATCTTGCAAAATAACACTTCTTCAAATTATCTCATTTGTAAGCAGCTTCTTCTGGGTGTAGATGGATGTGGATGTTGGTGAATAAAAAACCTACATAATACTATTTTGCATTTATGCACGAAAATTGCTGATATCTCCTGTGACTTGCATGTTCGTGCATGAGACACATCGACTGGAAAAGTATATTGCAAGTTAACGTAAATTTCCACCAAATACATGTATCCTTTCAAGTTTCACGTTTAATTAGATAATATGAGATCAGTATCTCAGAACGGTAAGACACATTCCCTAGTCATATACATGTGCAATACATGAATGACAAGAATTTTAGGTAACTTTTAAAATTATCTTTAGAATATTGTCTTTCGATGTGAGAATATCATGAATATGTAACGTTGATATCAAGTATTTTATAACAGCATGGGCATGAATGAAGAGAAAATCGTTACCTACAATCACACACCTGCACTCACAAAAAGTTTCTTGTTTGAAAATCGTAAGAGGAAATCAAATTGTCTGACATGGCTATGATCAATGCTACTTGCCATGTACTATATTACTTTGTGCAGTAATGATTCATTTCTGTTTGACTCGCAGTTGTTTTTACCTGGTAAGTTGGAAAAAAGGAAGAAAGCAAGTTGGAAAAAAAGCATACAAAACCCATTATGTGACATTTCAATGGCGTAGTACAGAAATAAGCGCGTTTTTTACGAACATTTTTGTTAGTCATCATGAGTATATAGTTCCTTCTGTTTGAAGAAATCATCTATAAAAATCTTCTTACTTATGTTATATTTGTAATGAAAAAACAAATTTCAACATAAACATTGTCTTTTTATTCATATTGAACTTAATGCACTTTCAGATAATTTAAACAAACTTTCGAACAATCGAAACGAGAAACTCACTGCAATGTCATCGCATGAAATCTTCGTCATATGGTTAGATCCTCACATTGGTGTTGCTGACAATTATATTCATATGAAAGAAGCATTTTCAACTACAATTGATCCAACTAATCCGCATCCGATAAATCTATCTGATCGAGATTGTAATACACATTGCTTAAATAAAACAGATTCCAAACGCCAACATCGATTTCAAGGTCCTTGTGAAATACAATTCTTTACTGACGAAGAGCTATGTTTAGAATGCATAAATAAATGTTTCAATACAAATAAACAAATATTTTTAATTTTACCTGATTATGTTAAAAAAAATTTCTTTTTACGCATTTACGAACAACATCCACAAGAATTTCAAAAGACTCAAAATGAAATATCAATAAGATTTTATATATTTATCTGTATGACTCGAATCGAAGAATGGTTATTTGATTATGAAGACTATGTTCGAATTTATTATCATGAAGCTGATCTTTTGTATGCATTAACACGAGATATAGCAATCTATTATATGATGATTGGTAAACAATTATTTAATGAAAATAAACTTAATGATATTCAGCAAGCACTATTGTATTTTCAATGGGCTTCCACACTTATTCTTCGTGGAAACTCGATTTCATCTTATAAAGATATTGAACTTCAAGACTATTTACAAACAATGATTTGTAAAAGTAAACAACTAATTTATTCTTTCGACAATGAAAATTATTTACCATATAATTCAATAAATAAATTAATCGAAAATATTTTTATTTATTATTCAGTAGAATTTAATGATCAAGCATTAAAATTATCGACAATATTCAATCAAATAATAAATAAAAATCCATTATTATTCAATAATTTAACAGATTTTGTTTTAAATTTACAATTGGAAAGGTATAAAAATCAACATAACTGTCTGATAATAATTTGTTCAAAGACTGATAATCAAACAACTATTTTCGAAGAATTATCATCAGTACCATCAATCGAACATATTTATGCATTAAATATAAGTGAAAATGAATTAATTGAACAAAACAACTATCGAACACTATTGAAACAATATCCAAAAATTCGAAATATCTCTGTCAATATGAAAACACTTGTACGCAATTGGATACTGGAACATTCAGCAGAATGTGAACAAATTGGAGACTATTTTCAAGAAAATGGAAATTCAAAAGAAGCACATTTGTACTATGAAAAGTCTATAAAACTCAATGAATGTCTTTCTGTTTTTATTAAAAGAAAATAATACTATATATTGATTTTTTTCATTATGTGTATGAGATGAAACGAGCCTGTTCGAAAAGGACACTCACATCGAAATGAAAACTCACATAAGATTCATATACTGTTATAGAGTTTCGGTCATTCGTAGGTCAACGTATTTGATAATTCTCATCGCATGAAAAATTGATCATTGTGGTCGTTTTCTTTTCTAATTTTGCGACTTTGCCGTATTTCAGTGCAAGCAAGACTATGACTCAAAATACAACGTTACCAACACAAAACTTTTCCAAAAACTGTGATGGATGCCCCTCTATATATTTCAGTAATATGTTGGCTTCTCAAGTGAACCGAAGCTATGACGGAAGAAACAACATCAATGATAAAAAATGCTGATTCTTTGATGCGATTCCATGTGATTTGGTAACTATCTGAGTTGGTTACCAGCAAATGACAGTAAAGTCAATTGTCTAGGTTCTGGATGTGAGTTTGCGAATATGGAACAGGTTTACACCCACTCACACTTATCAGTTCGATGTGTTAAGTTGATATATCGAATAATGAAATTGTTCTTTTTTCAAATTTATGTTTATTTGTTGCCAAATACTTTATCAATAGTTCCCTCATTTTTCAGTGTATCGATATTTTCTTTTTCTTGACTTTTCACTATGAAACATTTTCATATGTATTTTATTAACATAGAGTTAATTCTTCGAATAGATTATTTCTTTTTCATCTTCTCAATTTAGCTATTGACAGATCACCACGTATGAATACCTCGGAAAGCAGCGAAGAGTCAGTTCTCGTCATTTTTTTTCTACTCCTCTACGCAGTGCGATAAGAATCTATTTTACCCTTTATATTTTCTTGGTTAAATACTGATAAGACTCTATACAGACGAACAATTGACGACACACCTTCAATAGTTAAACATAGCTGTAAGTTGAGATGACTTTTGAAAAGACAATAAACAACTTTGATCGATCTTCGTTTAGATTATCGGTGAATAATGCGATCCTTGTTTTATTTTTCATTAATCTTCTTCATTGATTTGTCTTGTGCACAAAGAGTTTTTCGTCGTGCTTATTTTCGTCCAGCTCGAACCATAGACCATCTATCATCAGATACGTTGCAAATGGATGAAGCCTATTTGATTATACGTAATACGAATTATTCTGAAAATATTTCAGTTCTATTAAATGTGGTTGCATGTGAAAACTGTGATTTTGAAAATATAGCTAATGTAGCTCCAGGCTTGAATATGACTCGAATAATTTCAACAACATTTCCATATAATGTGCTAATCCAAGCAAATCTATCGAAAAAAATATTTCAATGTCCAATAACATGGTACAACTTTGACGAACATGGTACATATATATTAGAAGTAATAGAAACTGATCAATTAAATGGAGATGCTTGTTCCATTACACAAATTGGAGAGGCAAGCTATTATTGGATGCCTGCCATTGTTGGAATTGCATTTTTCATTGTCGTAATTGTATGCATTCAATTATGGCAATATAAATATCTCAGTCAATATTTTAATCATGTTTTCTCGAATATAGATCATCAACATTTGATTAAGAATAATCTTGAGAATACATCACCATCGATGAGTTCATTGAATTCTCAAAAGAATTCTGAAGTAGATAGCTATACAGCACGTATCACTATCAATGTCAGTGAATCACCACCATTGGTCGAATCGTCTCGTCCTTCAAGCAGTTCTAATCTTACGAAGAAAATGTTACCAAAACGTCTTCAATCGTTGGATACTTTTCGAGGATATTCTTTGATGATGATGATTTTTGTCAATTATGGTGGTATATTCAAAAAAAAAAATTTCGTATTTATTTGAACTGATTTTTTATTTTTATTTCAGGTGGAGGCTATTGGTTCTTTGCACATTCAAGTGAGTCGAAAGGTGAATCCTTAGTCTTAAACTCAATTTCTGTCTAGTTTGGCATGGATTGACAATGGCCGATGTTATGTTTCCATGGTTTGCATGGATGATAGGCGTATCGATTGTTCTTTCGCAACGATCACTTCGCAGTAAAGCCATTCGAAAGCGAAATATTTTTTTCAAGATATGTCGACGAACAATAATTCTTTTTCTTTTGGGTAAAAACAAAACTGAATGATTAATTCATTTTTTACTCAATTAAAATTGTTGTTGGTCAGGTATGGCTACACAAGGTGGAAGTGGACATTTGATAGATCTTCGTATATTTGCTACCCTTCAAAGATTGGCATCATGCTATTTTTTTACTGCCATTATTGTACTCTGGTTGGATGGTGAAGATAATCAGTCAAACACATCAATTGGTAACATTTTTTGAATTTCTATTGGTTCGCTGTCTATCATTTTGTTTATATATTTCTTAAGGTAATGATGGCTATCAGCCCATCCACGTTGAACTATGGAATACTATTTGGAAATTTTGGTTTCAATGGTTGATCGTCGTGCTGACTACTATTGCTTGGGTTCTCATAATTTTTTTCGTTGAAGTGCCTGGTTGTCCTAAAGGTTATATGGGACCTGGCGGAAAACATGATCATGGAAAATATGGGAACTGCACTGGAGGTAATTGTTATCCATAATTCGAAAGAATCAATATGTTTAGTTTAGGCGCTGCTGGATATGTCGATCGAATCATTTTATCGGGTTCTCACATGTATAACGATCCAACATGCAAAGATGTCTACCACACTCAAGTACCCTTCGATCCTGAAGGTCAACATTGAACATTATCTTCTTAGATATTCTTCTATTGCTCTTAAGTAACTATATAGCATAGCTGGTCCTTGAGCATAATAAAGTCTCAATAGGCAAAAATAATCTCAGTTTTTGCCTCTATTTCTTCATCATGATGTGTACAATCAAGCTCAGCATTGGGTTCATTAGAATCTTGGTTCTTGCAAATAAAATATGAAGAGAGTCCATAAAACTTTATTTATACTTTTAGTACAAATTTTAAAACAATACTAGTAAGTTAGCAAAACAACATTTTTTGAAAACTCAAAACAGTGCCAATGAAGATGTTTTCACGACCAGAGAATGCTTTTCTAAACAATATGAAACGAAAAAAAACTTTCCATTTCGATGGGCACCGATTTTTGTTTTTTGTTTACTACATTTGACACTCAACTAAATAGAAAATCAAGTAGTAGTTCACGAGGAACTGTAACTGATGTCATGGATAAGGCAGAGCCATTCAATTCAAAAAACATCATGACACGTTGTATCAAAAATAGTCTTAAAGCACTTTTTTGGACATAGTAGACCTTGAAAAGATTGATTTCCGAAACCTTGACAAAGTGAAACATTTTGTTTTTTAGTGTAGGTGGGCAAGGAAGATTAACAAAGTACTTATACTAAATAGAAATTCGAATTCGAATATAAAATCCGTCTTGCATTTTCAAAGATGAAGATCATCAATACATTTTAGATTTATTCTAACATCGGAAAATGTCAATCGCCTCCATTTTTTTAGGTATTTTGGGTATTCTGACAGGAATTCTTATGTGCTATCTCGGCGTGCATGCAGGTCATGTTTTTGTTCGTTCGACATGTGTTCGTCGTATGTGTACTAATTGGCTCGTGTCAGGTATAATTTGTGGTTCCATTGGTCTCGTTCTATCGAAAGGTGGTCACAGCAATGGATGGATTCCGATAAACACAAATCTTTGGTCACTTAGTTTCATATTTGTTGTTGCCGGTCTTGCTTTCCTTATTCTGACGATACTCTATTTACTTGTCGATGTTAAACAATGGTTCAATGGTGCTCCTTTTCTTTGGTTAGGAATGAATTCTATTGTTATCTATGTTGGTCACATGTTCTTGGAGGGCAGCTTTCCAGTACAATTCGAGGTCGATGAGACACATGTCAAATTGATGGCAGTCAATATGTACGGTGCATTCTTTTGGACACTGGTAGCTGCTTTGATGTTTCATAAGAAAATTTTTATTGCCATTTAACATAATTATAATCATCTTCTTAATAATAAAACATATCTTCGTAGTGGTTAGTTCTATGGAGTCTCAACGAACATTTACAGGGATATTTATAATTTACGTACACACTACAAACATCTAGTAGTAATATTGATCAGTTTCGCACTTATTCAAATAATCAACATGCTTGAACAATCGACAGAACTTATTGGATCCAAGTAGGATCGGATATGTGTGTGGACGAAGAAAAGATCAACACACCCACCTACCGACACCCTCCATGTCGGATGCTGAATTGCAGTAAAGTCGAGGATCTTCTACCTACTGACTATTGAAAGAAACGACTAAAATCGAATGATTATCCACCATTTTATAAGATGCAACATATTATTGCAAACGGACCGCACGAGTTTTACAAAATTTGTTTTTTAATAAGTACACATTTCATTATTTATAGATTTATCATAAAGTGAGAAATCATGATATCTTTTCAGCTGTATTGTATACTTACAATTCACATGAAGACATAGTTCTGTCTCTTGATTATAGATGGTTCACAGTTTGCATATATTTTTCTGAATACATCAATGAAAACGCTGAACACCTTCGTTCATTGTTTATTGATCATGAAAAAGAAACAAAAAATTGATTATCGTATAGATAGGTTAAATCTAACCGAAATGAGTGTATATCTTATTTGAAACAATTCGTTTGAGTACATGAGAATGACTAACATATCTACATTCAAGAAAAAAAATACTTTGAGTACAACTTTTTGATCATGATGTGTGGCATTCGCAATGTGCATTTCGTGGAAGTCTTTGACGATTGGAAACGGGTAAGTTAGAAAACGAAACAGATGAAAAAAATTGTAACGCCCACTAAGTTTCGAGATACTTCTAGTAGCTATATTGGTGGTCTACTGTCTATCTTTGATCAATTTCTGCAGACGTATCAAGACAATGTTGACCATCAGTTTTGGAATTCAAGCATGAATATCAAGCATACGGTTAATAAATCAGAAGACCATCTGTTGTAGGAAGCAGGGACCAAGCTGTAAAATTTCACAAATATTAGTTTTTTGTCCATTTAAACAAAGATACTTGCTCAACGAAACTTTCGATTCAAACAAAGATAAATACACCCAATATCTTCAAAGAATAACATAGTCACTTTTTCTTCCTATTGCACACGGTGAGAAAGGTACATAAAACGATAGTTTCTCTACGTATGCTATGAACTTCACCAAAGTAGAAAGTGTCAAAGAGACGGCACGCAACTGAATCTATTCATCGCCTTGATAAACGTTCCTAATGACATAACTAAAACAATCTCAAAATATGCTCTATGGTTAGATACTTTCATGAAGTCGAATCAATATGATATAATTAATCAAGAAACTGTTTCACTTTGATTTTTAAATGATATGAATAAAAAGAATAAAAGTATGCCATTTTGAGATGTATTTATTCTTCTTGAAATGCTTTGCTATTATTAAATAGTTATTAAATAAAAAATCGATGAGAATAACCTTGATGTGGACAATTCGTCGATTGTACGGACAAGATAGAAAATTCAGTTGAAATTATCCAACTAGTGCTATACGATAATATCTATTTGTTAAATCTATGAATTCGAATTTTTGTTTTCTTTACATCTTTTGGTCGATTAGAAAAGAGAAGGTGCGTGTTTATGTCACAAGAAAAAAAAAAATTTACTCGTTCTTTCATTATACAACATGTCGACACTGACTCACACAACATGGATGCAAGCGTTTTTTTTTCCTTAAAAAGAATTTATTTTTTCCATGTGTGTCATGAAGAAATTTTGTCATATACATATGTACTATGAAGCTGAATTATGTTCGTGTTTTTGATTCAAACAATATCTTCTCTCTAAAAATAACGGGTCATACATAACTTTGTAGGATTCAAGATTTTGATGAAAGATTCAGTATGACCCCGTGTTTTAGAGTTTGCTACTGAGTAGTTTACATTTATTGTATACATTTCGGCGAAAACACATGTATCACAACTTATTGAGATGTGAACTTTGTTTCGTTTTGTTTTCCATTCAAAAACAAATAATTCCATTTACTTAATTCTACATATTCATCAATAATGCCATCGAACATCAACTCAGTCAAATGTCACTTTTT